GTGATATTGATTGAATCGAAATATTTGCATGGCAAATTATGGGCCGGATGTAGAGCCTCCAATTGTTTCTGTACTATTACAACGGTGATATATAATCCGATAATTGATAGCGTAATTATTATATGGAAACTGAATTCACGCAATTTTGACCACAACTTCGTCATTTTATTTGCCCCGAAACTTGGTGAAAACTTTCAATTTTTTCTACTTTTTTCAAGGGAAAATCACTCAAAATTAATACAACGCTGCTGTTTTTTTAGCAGTAATACAACGTGAAAAAAGTAATACAACTTTTTAGTGAATTGCCCCTTGACTTTTTTTCCGTACACGAAACAAGTGCCAATGGCCCACAACACATTGAACCTATAAACGAAGATTTCGAATTCAACTTAGAAAACAAGTTACAGAAAGACGAAGCGAATCAGTTTGACCATTCTTGTTGAGATCTCTTTGGAGACTGACTCCATCCTGGTACTGGATACATAATTATATGTTGCTCTTTTTGCATAATTTTATCATGTACGGAGTGATTCAAATGAGTGAGTTCTATATTTAAATTTCGTTGATAAAAAAAAGCTCAACGAAATTTTCCTTAATCATAAACTTGATAAGTTGCGCTTATGATGAACGTGTTGCAAAATATTTTTCAAGAAAATTTCGCAACAGAATATTTTTATTTTTTTATTTTTGTATTTCTTCGTAATAAGATGTTGTCATCGACATTTTTGGAAGGAAACTTTTGCATTTAAAGTGTGATATGTATAGGATTTTGGACACAAACCAGGTGTGCATGTTGTTATCCACAGGCTCACATTTGTATCAAGATCAAGGCTTACGATGAATATTCCTTCTTAATTCATATTCATTCTCAAGTCGATTCGAATCCCGAAATCCGTGTCAATGCTTCGACTTGTAATTTGTATAAACATTCGGAGCCTAGGGTGGCAGCATCAACAAAATTCAAATTGATGTGCTGTTTTAGTTCAGAAAAAAAAATTACGAAATTACATTGATTTGCCTATTGAAATTGAGGGCGCTCGCATTGCCACAGTTCTTATTTAAGTTGTTTTCGGTCTTAGCTGCTACCCGATGATTTCGAGGCAATGTACTCATGACAAAATTCCTTCTACAATCTTTAGCGAACAGAAATGAGTTCTGAGAATTTGACCGATTACTATTGTTGGTGATTACTGCGAAAGGTGATGAACCGACAAATATTTGTGTCGTTGAGTTCACTTTTCTGCTAAAAGATACGAGGCAAGTGTCCCAAGTGAAGATGAAGATAAGTAACACAAAAATAATTCTGATGTAAACAAGCGGTTCCGACTAATCCCATTTTCATTCTCAACGACAAATTTGTTAATTGAAAATATATTCATTGAATTAATCTCGTTGTTCGGTTAGACTAACCGGGTTAGTAATATCGCATAGAAAAGCACTTACCATGATTAAAGCACTCCATCAGCGAGTCTCTATGTGCATAAAATGTGAATGAAAAACATGTTTGTTTTTATTTGCGTTTATCATTTTTTAATCATGAATAAAATAAAACAATTGTTTTTTTTGTTTTTTTTTCTTCTTCAATTATTTGTGTGTGCGTGTGTGTGTAGGTATTGAATGGGAGAAAAAAAATGCAGAACAGACTTACCCGAAAAAATCGCATCTAGAGCCTCAAAATCGCCAAAATGCCCATTTTTTGTCCATTTTTTTTAAACATTTTTCAATATTTTTGGTCAATTACTCGCCCACACATCCAAAAATAGGCGGTTTTTTTTTCTTTTTCGCTTTATTTCAAATCAATAAAATGTTTTTACATATAATAACAAAAAAATAAACAATATAAATTTTACGGTCATTATTACATAGGAGATATGAACTTATTGTTGTTATTATTGTTGATTATCGTTGATTTGAATTACATCCGACGCTACTGAGAAATTCAGTTCTCTGTTGAGTAACTCAAGTTCTTCTTCGGAAAATTGCTCATCGGACAGGTTGTCAACCAAATCGTTAACGGTTTTTACACAAGTTGTTTCGTTGTCGCGTACAGTGTTTGAGCAAAGTTTCTCAAGTTTTTTGTTTTGTGTTTTTCTTTTCGTTTCGTTTCAAAACCAGATTTTCTCCACTATCACGAATGTGCAAAAATGCAACACAACTCAGAGACTCAATCATAAAAGTATTCCAAGTTCCTTTGTTTGATGTAGTACCTATAGGAATCGATAATACACGAAATTGGAATATAAATCTCGAAATATTATAAAACCATCTATTTCAATTGGATGCAAACAACTGAGAATATTTCAATTCACAAATGGAAGAAAAAAAGAAAAACACAATTCATGTATATAAAAGGAGATGAAGAAATGTATGGCGGTAGAGGGGGAAAGAAGGATATATTTATATCTGTCCACGATTTGGACATATCTATTCATTTCAACTGACATTGTAGTAACATATTTATCAATAACTAACAATGTTATTGCACCTTATTTATTTATTTTAATCACACGTTCGTTCTAGCATTATATCAATAATCAGCAGTGTTTATTTCAATCGCACGTTCTTTTTAACCTTAAAGAAAAGCAAGCTAAGCATAATTATAGTATATAAACCGTAGCTGGTTAATTAGAATTATCTATATTCAGTACAACTTTTGTATTCAAACAAGCAATAAAGAATCAAGCTAAAAGCAGAAATCTTTTAATTAAATGTTCTAAAACAGCTGAACAATATCGAGTACTCAGAATTGATTGTGCCCAAAATTTATCACCAATTTGATAATGAGTCTTACGATCGAGCAATCTTCGGAACGATTTAATTCGCAACACTCAACAGTTGAACACTTGCAAACACCTCCCAACGCCTCTCAAAAGTGACCATGTAAGTAAGAAAAAGAATCAACATTTAGTTGACTGTCAAAAGAAGCTGCAACACATCAAACTTTCGGATGGTTCACTATATAATTGATCAAACTTTCGGATGGTTCACTGTATAATTGATCAAACTTTCGGATGGTTCACTGTATAATTGATCAAACTTTCGGATGGTTCACTGTATAATTGCGGTGTTATTTGATATAAATGATTGCTTCAATAATGAAGATAATATTGTTTTTAATCGAATATCATACAAATTTTAAAGAATTTTTTGAAGTTAATTTTTCGGATAAAAAACGCAGAGGAAAAAAAAGTCCCCGAACGTTCTGAATACCCAAAACACAATTATAGAGTTAAGCAAATCACTCATTTATATGTAGATAACAACAATTGGATGGATAACCCATTGATTTTAAATTAAATAAACAATTAATTTTATTTAAGTAACTGAAATGTTCAATTCGTCATAATATAGAGGAATTTACCAAAGAGATGTTAACTACAGATTGCCATCTTATCAATTTAGATGTGACAATTTAAATATTCAGCCACTTTGGAGGCGGCGTATAAATGCCTCAGTATTTTTAATTTATGATCTCTTATTAGGAAATTTAATTAGCACGGCACTGAGAGAAAGAATCGTATATACGAGACAAGTAGATAATAGGAACCAAATAAATGTGAGAAACAGAGACTTAGTCAGAATTGAAACGTATGGCACGGACTATGCTCGTAACCAACCGTTTATTCTAGCGTGTAGATATTTTAAAAAAGTAAGACAAGTGTTTTTAGATTCGGCATCAAGACAAATATTTTGTACAAATGTGTTTAATTTTGACAACAATGTATTCGAAGAATTGTATGTATAATGAGAAGCAGTGAATACAATCGGTGACCGCAGAGCGCCACTCCGAAGTCAATAGGGCTGGCGGCTAGGCGATCCGATTCAGGGTGTTTCATTACTTTTGTAAAATTATCAAATGTAAATGAAAAATGAATTATATGATATTATTCAGTCTGTGATTAGACGGTGAAATAAATAATAAATAAATAAATAGCCCACCATTATCGTCAATTGTTTATCAAATATGGTATATCACAAACAAAATGCTAAACAGTGAGTCAAGGCATTGTGTTCGCTCATGTGATCAATGAATGTTATTTTTTTTCATTTATCACATTCCACCGGATAAGAAAAGATTTCTGAACGAAGAAACGATAATACAAGAAAAAGAAATTAGCTGAAATGTTGTTCAGAAAATGTATGTATCTATTCGAAGAAAAACAAATAGTCACAACAGAGTTTTTATCATTTTAATAGAAGTATTAGGACTAGACGAACTCAAATGCAATTGTATGTATGCAAATGGTTATCGATTCTGTCACAGTTTTTCTGTGTACTTGTCACGCTTTGCTGTCATTTGATTCAATGCAATATTATTTGTTGCATATGTCACCGACGAAGAATTCGTCGTGATACTTGAAGCCGTGGATTTTTTGATAATTGCTTGATATCTAGAAAAAAAGATCGGATCGAATATGGTTACAAATTGAGAGATGCTTATTGTGAGCACAAACCTTTTCTTTATCAATCGGAACATACGGCGTTTACAAACCATAAATGCAAATATCAAAACACCTTGCAAACAGTTCCACACATCAAAAAAGAAGAAATATATGCTTTCTGAATCCACTAGGAATGAAAACGACTCCATAAACCAAATAACTCCCATCACTATGAAAAGTCGTAGGAATAGGTTGAAACTAGAATAAAAACCAACAATTGCCTATGTTATTAAAGGCAGAATTTTGCCAATGCAATTGTATTGCCTACTTTTCCTTTTCACTTTGGAGTCTGCATTGATGTTTACCGTTTTCACCTTGTGCCATCACTTTGTTCAGATCGATTTGAAGTAAACGAATTTTGAAGGCGGTCAGAACGAAAAACAGAATATTCACGGAGCATAGAATGAATTGTGGAAGGTAGAAGTAGAAAAGTCTTGTATTCCATTCCTCTAAAGTTTTAAAATAGAATGTTCGTAAAATGGTGGTGGTGGTTCTTTCGCTAAGTTTTTGTTCTTAAATACATACTTTGAAGAAAGCACATGTGTACTCCCATCAATGGTTGGAATGTTTTTGGAATGCCAGGAATGTAGTCCATGGTTAAAGTGAGAAGTGTCATCAGCAACGATAATCCCAATGCATAGATTGTGTAGAAAATGAATCGCTTCTTTTCGGACAACATAAATCCGCTAGTTTTTTTGTTGGGCAATTTGAATTCACTATTTTGGAGGTTTTTTTTTGTTTAAATAATTATAATGTGATAAAAAAAATGAAACAAACCTAAAATTCCACCATAAATCAAAAGAGATTACACTCAACCACAGAAATACCGATTGTGACGCAAAATATGTCGTATATCCAACTAATTTACACGGCAAGGGCTTCACATATCTATCGTCATTGATATATATCCAACCAAACAATGGTTGGAAAATGACTAAGCTCACCAAATAGCATAACAAGCATTTTCCGTGCAAATTCCGTAAATCTGGTATGAGAATGTAGACGAAGAAAGTGGCCATCGTAAATGGGACCGATATAAATAGAACTACAAAAGTACGAAGAGAAAAAAACAATTGAGAAAATGTATTTTCACATTTAAATTTACACAACCTACGATATGGCATACAAGCTTTTCGCACATTAAGTTTTTCTACAGCTTTGTCCACTTCATCATTAACTCGCTTCGCGAGTCCCAAAATTTTTCGTTCTTTACTATTGTAGTATAAACAAAATTCATGATGTTCGTATGATCTGTTCTTGCCGATTAATACACCATCCTGTTTAAATTATGAACAAATTTTCTTTTGGTAAACTATTTTTGATTTCATTTTTATGTCAATTACATACGTTCGTTATA